GTACTCTTGGCACGATGTACCGATCCTCGTCGCTGACTGCCGTCATCTCGGGTCATCCCTAGCTGCATGAAGGTACTCATAGTGATGCGGCTTCTCAGGGAGCTGACAACAGTCAACGAAGTTGGGTACAAAAAGACACAAGGAGATCGTTACCCGCCACTAATGACCAAAGTCATCAATCTCCATCAACCGTCACGTTCAACATGCTGACCGAAAAGACCAAGCCCGAATACGTCGACCTCGACGCCGAGTTTCACCCACTTCCCAAGCACGGCCACCTCTCCGCAAAACACCCGGTCTATGCGGCCTCAGAAGCCGCGATCGGCGCCATGTACGCGCAAATTCAGGCGCAGCCGGATTTCGCGTCGGTGCGCAGAGTGGCCGGCGACGCGGACGCGCCGATGCCCCGGGGCGGACCGGATCGGCATCGGGACGTGACCACGGAGCTGCTGTACTTCAAGGCCCGGGATGGGGAGAAGATCGAGCTCAAGGTGTACAAGTCGCCGATTATTCGGCCGAATGCGGTTTTGATGTATCGCATGCACGGAGGTGGTATGGTATTTTTGGTTAAATGAGATGTAGCCGGGTTTATTTGCTGACGCGGTGTCAGGATGGTGCGTGGGACGTCACGAGGTTGACGGTGCTGAGAACGTCTACGCCGCGACCAACAAGAACATTGTCGTTGTCAGTGTGTGCTATCGCAAGTACGTTGTTGTCGTTGAGAATCCATCCCTCAAGCTGACTTGTACAGGGCGCCGGAGGATCCTTTCCCGTGTGGGCTGCAAGATAGCTATGACGGCCTCTTGTGGGTAAGTTTGGCCAAGTGACATGAGACGAGTTCTGTCTAACTCCGCTCTAGTGTAAAAAGAACGCAACAGCCCTCGGAGTTGACCCAGAGAAGATCATCCTCAGCGGGAGCAGCGCAGGAGGAAACCTAGCAAGTCTCGCGAAGCAACCCATACCCGTTCAACCCGACTAACAAACGAAGGCCGCCGCCCTAGCAATTGAATGCAGGGACAACGGCATCACGGGCGTCATCGCCCAAGTCCTGCACTTCCCAATCATCTGCCATCCCAAATTCTTCCCGAGAGAAAAATACGAGTATGGCAGCTACATCCAGAACAACGACAACCCGGTCATTGGCGCTCTGGAGATGGAAGGTGCCCTCGATGCGTACCTGCCCAAGCCGACGCCCGACCATCGCCATTCGCCCATACTGGCAAAGTCTCTGGAGGACCTGCCCTGTACGCGTGAGTTGAAAGAATGTGGACAAATCGTCGCCATCACCAGCTAACGCCGCGCCATGTCAGTCATACAATGCGCCGGGTACGACGTCCTGCGCGACGAAGCTCTCGCGTATGCGGAAGCATTGGAGGCTGAGGATGTGGATGTCGAGGTGCATGCGTACCGAGGCCTGCCGCACTGCTTTCCTGCGGTTTTACCTGCTGCTGAGGAGGAAGTGTGGAGGTTTTACGAGAGGTACATGGCGTTTTTGGATAAGGTGACTGGCGGGTCAACTTAAATCCTTCATGAAAGCTGACACTTGAAATTTGGGGGCCTTGCGCAACACTATCGCTCTGGTCTTCCACCGTTATTCCTCAGGACAGGAGTAAGACCTAATGGTATGTACCAGAAGATTAATAGCTCGTTTCTCGGAAATCGGGCTCCGTGAGAAAAACTGGGTGGATCCGAGAGAGACATCAAGATGATTGTAACCATCTCTGGCTCGCAAGATCCTCCAAAAACATTGTTGTCCGCCTAGTTAATACATAGCTGTGTGATGAGAAAGGCGGCGGTTAGTGGGCAAGACGGAACCCCTTGAAGGCGACCACAATCGGCTTTGGCACGGACAAACGAAACAGCGCAACCATAGGGGCTCGAAGCAGCCAATTCTCTCTCCACTTGCTTATAATCGAGACAAAAACGTACAGGCTAGTAACGCGTGTCGCCGTAACGGTCAGTCAGTGCCTGCGTGCCTAGAACCCGATGATCTACTCTTGGAGAACGCGGCGCAGGCTGAAATTGAAGAGTACCTGCCGGAGTTCTTTACAAACTTATAAACCAGGTCTTGCTAAGAAACCGGTGGGATATCCGAGACTGAGTCGGATATGTCATGGAGCTCCGCAAGTCCACCACGAGGACGTAATGATCATGCTGGATGTCCAGTGAGACTGCCGGTGGGATATTCGATGCTGTAGAGCCTGTGCAGCGGAGCCCCACGAGGCCATAAAGGGGTACGAATGCTCCTGTGGAATCGAACGGGTAGACTGAGTTTTCTTCCATCGCATCTTGAGTAGGTTGGGTCATCCCTTGCGCGTCAACCTATTTTCAGACATCCAAGCCTTTGCCTGAGCTCCCAAAGCCTTGGCTGACCCGAGTTCCGATTTGAAAATTTTCAGGGAGAATTTTCCTATTCTACATATCAATCAAGGCTCATAAGTATGAATACCTACCCTTTGTTGCTTTTGGGGTTGCGCGTTTGCCTGGAAAGACCTTCGGCAAACTGATGATCAAGAGAAAACTTTTGTATCATCACCTTTACTTGTCCCGACACGACATGACTGGAACACTTTTTCGTCGAGAGAGACAGCATCAATTCTCATTTCAGAAGACGACCTCTTTTGGCAAAAGAAATCTCTTTTTCTTGGGTCGCGTTCTTGAAATTGAGGTCCGTGGAACCCGCGGACTTGACCGATCTTCTGCTCCATCAGGCTTACCGGATCGCCGTCCACGCGTCCTCGCTGGGCTTGACAGAGATAGAGCACATGGGCACTGCTTTCAGGGACCCCTTAAGCTTAGTACAATATGACACATCGCATCGGGAGGCACCCGATTGTCTATATCAATGATACTCCCCCTCATTCCTTTTGAAAAGGTTGTGGACAATGAAGATGGTAACGTCCTTAATGTCATCTCGCGTCGCCGTCGGGGTTGACTTTGTCCTGGCTTCAATCACCCTGGACATAAATTAGAAAAGAAAAAAAAAAAGGAAATAAAAAAAAAGAAAAAAACGTAATGTTCAACGCGTCCACGGGTGAAGAATCATCGCGAACCCGAAAAATCACGGTCCTCGGGTGCAATCGAGGTGCCGAATTTCCCGTCACGACACACAACATTTATTCAAATCCAGAGAAAACAGGCTCCGTACCGCCACATGGGGCCGTAGGTACGGAGCCCACCCCCCCCCCCCGGGTCCGGTGGCCGCTTTCACCGAAACAGGCAGGAGGCGCACGAAGCCGTTAAGGGGCGGTGCATCCTCTCCAAGCCCCCCAACATCGCGCGTCTACTGCGTATGGGCGAGCGGGTCGAATTAGCCACTGGTGAGAGCCTCAAACTCCACAGAACCGCCCACATCCCGACGACGGAGGTGTAAGTAAACGTCAGCCTACTGGGGTATCTTCCAATCACAATCGTCACGACGTAAGCTATTCCGGAGCTTTGATTAGCTAGGGAACGTCTGTACGGTAATTAATGCAGGGCTTTACAAAAAGAATCATGGAAAGTAGAGCTTGAAGATGTGGTGTATAAGAACAGTGATGGGATGCTTCGTCGAAGGGAGTTGTTCCCGGTCGATCACTCACAGTCACTCACTTCTCTCAGCATTCACTCTTTGAAACATACAAAATGCAGCTCAACAACATCTTTCTCCACGCTTTGGCCTTGGCCCCTGTCTTTGCTCATCCTGAGCGGATGACGGCCGAGAAGGCCAAATCCGAGGCCCACGTGGTCGGTCGTAGCACCAACAAGTGCGCAGCTGCCATCGAAGCGCGTAAGGCTGAGATCTTCGCTAAGAGAGCCAGCCGTCTGCGCACTCGTCGGGCTCAGAATGGACACACAGATGAGCGCGAGCTTTTGCAGCGCGATTCCCTGCACTACACCACCATTCAGAACGACACCTGCGTTTTGGCCCCTGATACCGTCTGGGGACCCTATGGGTAAGCACTTGATACTCTGTCATGATTGGTGCGATATGTAAATCCTGACATAATCGCAGTGTTGACGGTGAAATGGTACGCCATGATCTCCGCGAGACACAAGGAGGTCTCGACTTTTACCTCGACATCGGCGTGATCGACATCGAGACCTGCGAGCCGCTGTCCGGAACGGCCCTAACGATCTGGAACTGCAACGCCACCGGCTCCTACTCGTCCTTCACCGGAATCGACCCCGATTCCGCGGAGCTGATGGACAACTGGACCAAGAGGGACGATGGAACAACGGACGACGAGACGTTCCTGCGCGGTATTCAAGTGACCGACCAGAACGGCATCGTCGAATACCTCACCAAGTTCCCCGGATACTACATCACCCGCACCACGCACATCCACGTCACTGCGCAGACGAACATCACCAACGGCACCTTGTACTCGGCCAGCAAGGTCCAGCACATCGGACAGCTGTTTTTCGAGGAGGACCTCCTGAGCCAAGTATACGCGCTGGAGCCGTACAGCGCGCACTTGACCACCTTGAACCGCACCACCAACGCGGAGGATTCGCTGTACTCTGACGCTAGCTCTGACGGCTACAGTGCTGTGATCAGCGTTACGCAGCTGACTGATAACATTGAGGATGGTCTCGTTGGCTATGTAAGTGACTCTTGGCATGTGATTGAGGGTAGTCAGCAGAGCTAACATGATTTACTTAGATCACACTTGGTGTAAACTCTTCAGCCGAGGGTCTGGCCATCACTGGTGGCGGCGTCAACCCCCAGGGTTATCTCCCCACCGTCAGCGTGGCTGAGAGCAAGCTTGCTCAAGCCACTGCTATCGACAGGGCTGATGGGTACCAGTCTTAGGGACGAAGTGGAGTGAACTAGAAGATTTACATTGAGAGTCACGGCCGAGATCTAGGGTAGGAATTGCATTGTGAGGCGTTTATATAGATAGGATTGCATTGGTAGCGAAGGGATACCACTGGAATAACATATTGCTCATACATATCTTCTACTTAAAGACAACATTTGTACAACGTTTCCAAGAAAAGTGGCCGGTCCTACTGACTTACAAGACAGCAACGCACAGGTAAGTCTCAGCCCACATGCCATTGCAGCCCGATCCAACCGCAGGGTTCCAAGAGATTAGGCTGGCGACAGTGACGCCGTACTTTGGTGCAATAGCCGCGCAGGTCTGTCCCGACTCGACAAAGTGGAAGCTCTTGCATTTGGTTGTCATGCCGCTCTGAATTGGCGTCGGCGTCTGGACGCCATTGCCAGGGTTGGTCGGGGTAGTGCTGCCTCCAACAACGCCAACGCAGGCGTAAGCATCTGCCCAGAGTCCGCCGCAGTTGCTGCCAGCCCCCTTGTTCCAGGCGAGGAAGTTAGCGAGAGTGATGCCTTGGCTTGAGGCGATAGCAGTACATAGCCTGAAGGAACGGGAATGATGAGTTTGGGGAGTGGATCAACGAACCATTGGACGGAGCAGTGGTTGTCGCCGGAGGAGTCTCGGGGTCAGTCGGGCTAGGAACAGTCTCAAAGGCTGTTTCGATGCAGTAAGATTTACCGACAGCGATGTTTTTGCATCCCTCATTGGTGGAAGGGTTCTGTTCGGTCAGCTTTATTTAGCTATGAAGACGATGAAATAAAAATGGCGTTGACAGAGATTTTGTCTACGTAACCAGCGCCTGATGTTGGCAAGCGTGATGCCCTCACTGGCCAGCAAATCATTGCAGTTCGTAGCCTGGGTATTGTCATACCACCAAGTACAATTCGCCGTGGTCTGCGGGTCGTACTCCAGTTGAGGAGTCGAGGCCATGAGGCGAACCGTTTCAGAATCGCTGCTGGTAGTGTTGCTGCGACGGAGAGGGATTGTGGCAGAAAGGCTCAAAGCGCTCATGCCTAGAAGCACAAAAGTGCTCTTAATGCTAACGGACGACATCATTGATTGATGGGGATGATGCGAATCTAAACGAGTGATAGGATTTGTCCTGATAGCAACGGAAGGTGAAATGAATGACGACTCGGGCCTGGGACTGAGAGTTTGAGCGAGTGACTGCTTGGTGAAGTGAATGGATACATTCTGTGAGGGAAGAAACCGCTTTTATGGAAGCTCATCATCATGAATCCATACTTCAACGTGTGCACAGATTATCGTGAGAAAGGGTCACAGGCCGACGTCCGAGGTAATGTCCGAGAAGACAGCGAGCTTCTAGCGAGTGGTCAAACTTTCATCCCAGGAGGCAAGGCAGCCGGAGTCCAGAACGTTGAATGAGACTCTTCTCGGCGAGTCCCGATGACTGGAACTAGGGAGAATAACCGGTGGTCGACCAGGAGCAGTTTGGAACTTTGGAAGCTCGTTGCCTGATCGCGGCATGTTCCATTGGAAAGTAAGCTTGGATCATGAACTGTGCCTCCAGCTAAATTTTGTTGTCTCCATAGACCGATATCATCATCAGGAAAGTTGAATAGATATTGTGTTAGTGCAGTGGGGAGACTCCGAAGCGAAGATTACAAGCAGCAATGGCGCCACTGCGCCATGTCGAAATCTGTTGTCTTACAGTGTTTAAAGACGAGTAATCTTGGCATATCTGGGGTTCGAATCCTGTTTCAAAGAATCCAGTCACATGTATAGAAAAGCTTTGTCAAAGTACTGCGCGGGAAACAAAAGACGATTAAGAACGGCTGAGGTTCGCTTTCGCCCCATCCAAGCCAAGCGTATCGGGAAACCTCCGCGACCCACCCGCCCCGTGCCGCAATCGTACTTCCGAGTACCCGCTGTCAGCTCAGTCTAAGTACTTGACGGTACATATCCCTGTCAAGGATTTGACTCGGCAAGTCCACAAGGCATGCTGCCATGAATCCTTCGCGCCGAGTCACTTTCAACAGGAAATTAACTTCTAGCCATGTCGCCACCTGAGGCTCGTGACTACTTTCTTTCAGAATGACCCATGTGAACGACGAGTAGCGGATTTCAAGCATAAGCAAGGCCGAGGATTGAGAGAATCAGACGATCACTGGATTCCTGGCCTCGACTTCACATAGCAGATGGAAGTATGGTAAATCACATGTAATCTTACAGCGAATCCGTTTCTGCATTTTCGTTTAGGATTCTTGATCATTCAGTTGTGTTGTACTATCTTATTCAGGAAGTCCCCTGCTATCCCAAACACCAACTTCTGCCATGCGACAATCTGGACCGAAGCCAACGTACGGCCCTTCTCTGCTTGTGATGAAGTTGTGGACCTCCTGTCGTTCATAGTAATTGAAAATTTCCGTTGGTTCCATGTCCAGACCTAGACACTTGCCATCGGGATCTTGTTCACTCGAAGCGTCAAGGTTGATGTGTCGTTCGGTCGCCCGCTTCAGAAGGTCCTGAAGGTAGAAAGGGTTATGAGAGTCGCGAGCGGCGGCGCAGAGGCGCCAGTTGGGCTCTGGCTGCAGTCGTCGATAGACGTCGTGATAGTCGCAGTAGATCGCGGCCACAGCAATTTGCTCGGTCATCTCTGGTACTTTCTCTGCCAATAAATCCATCATATCCCGAGTTGGACGGAGTGGCCACCAGATAAGGTACGGCTTAGGCGCGCCAGCCGGCCAGCCATTCTCAACAAACTCCTTTGGATCATTGATCATGATCCGTCGGGCTGAGATGGCTTCTTGAATCATGGAAAGAGATTTATGGCCTGTCTCAGTGTTCCTGATGGCCTGGACTCTCGTCGTGTTCTGGGTGATTTCTCCAGCCCACCAGCGGGCGAACATCGTATGATGGTAGATTCCGCGGACAATGCAGAGAGTCTCCTCACGGTCAATACCACGCGTTGGCCGTGACAGCCTGACGTAACGATCGATATTTCCTTCAAAGGCCGCCATGCAAATGAGAAGTTTCTTCTTCACAGTTGGCAGATCAAGAGGTAAAGGCTGGTGAAGTAGTTCTACTTCGAACTCTTCCAACTCAGAGTACATCTCGGGAGGAGTGTATTCGTCATTGATGTGCATGTCCTCTTCGACACCAGGATGAGTTTTGGAAAATTGTCGAGGGGTGTTTGGGCGATGGTAAAGCTGTAGACGAGTTTCCGTATCACCGTTCAAGAAGGCGGGAGACAATGGATCATCCAATTGGATGGTCAACGTGTCATCGTTCATGACCGAGTAGCGACAGGAGCGACTCATGATAGAGTCGTAAATGAGACGGCCACCATTCGTGTCGCTCTCTCTAGCCTCGTCAGCATGGGAAACGTCCGGCCGCAAGTCCATTCCTGATAGAGAGTGTCGTAGCCACCGGCTGCACAGGCACGACCAACCTGGTAGCGCATCTGCGGATAACGCTGCACCAACTGGCGGTACGTGTCTTCGGAGGCTATCTTGGGAAACCAGATGCAGTACGGCTCCTGTTGAGGACCCATAGTGCTCGGAATGGCATCGCTCATGATCAGTCGGGCATTCCGAGCCCGTGCAATCTGCGGATCCTGAAGGCAGAGGTTGCTGACATCCTGACTGGTCGCAAAATCGAGGTGGAGGCGTATGCCACGGATGAGCGAAGACCGGGCGCTGATGTTCCTGAGGTCTCGAGGGACTTTTCCGCCGCGAATTGCGGCACAGCAGTCAGCCGCCAGCTCCAAGTCTGGTGCCATGTCGAGTTCTGGAGTCAAAGAAGACGAAAACAATCAGTTGATCAGATGAAAAAAAAGGCGGCCGACCGCTAAAGAGGGTAAAATGTTGTCTCCTTGAGGCCGAGAATACAAAAGATCCAAAACGAATTGCTACTATGGACATGGGCCGGGCCCTTATTCCTCGGTTGACGAGATCATCAGACTGCGCAACTGGTAGCCTTGAACAGATCGGTCACTCTGGATCGCGCTCCGCTGTGGTGCGTCAACTAGTCTCGATTTCATGAGGTCTCCATCGATCAGGCTTTGCCTGGGAGGCACGGGAGGTCACTCGAAGTATTCGAAGGTTGAACGAGGACGCTTAAATTTATGCCTAAATCTAGAATACAGTCCGTTGCGTTAACATGTTACGGTCAGCTATCCGACAGTAGGGTCTGCTAACAGAAGCTGGGGATTGACACGTATAACAGTACACTGGGTCGTGGTCTGAGTTGTAGGTTGTAAGCTGTAGTAGATTGGGTCTTCAGAGGCTTAAGGTGATCAGTCTTAGACTCAATAAGTGATTTCGCAGTGAAGGTAAGCTGAGAGTATCTGTGAGGATGAATACTAAGTTGATTGCTGAAGAGCTATAGAAGTCTGATTATAAGCTAGGCTTAGGGTTATACTATATATAAGTTCTAAATAGTGTTCATTATCTATTTTTAGGGTGATCACCTAAATATATAAGGTGATTATAATTAGTAAGACTAACTAATTATTAAGTGTTTCTTCTTATACTTTACTAATTATTTGCTTATCTGATTATTATGTAACTTATACTATAGTTCTTTTATTTTAAGTAAGTCTTTATTATTTCTATAACGTGGTTCATCAGTCAGCCGGCCGGACCAGTCAGCCGGACGTTTTTTTCTAAACACTCTTACGTCCAAATCACTTAATCCTTTGACGCGTAAAATCTCAACAACCACAATGCTAATCTACACCTAAGAAGACAAAGTCATTCTTGCGATTAAAGCGATCCGATCGACACGCGCTGCAGGTAATAACTTAAGCATTTCGCGTGCTGCAAAGACCTACGGTATCCCAAAGAGCACCTTAGCTGATAGAATGAATAACTGACTGCGACGCGAACAAGCTTAACCCTAACGATATAAACTCAATCCGATCGAAGAGAAAACACTTCTCTAATACGTTATTAAACAGGATTCCAGAGGATTTCCTTTCCGCCTCAGCAGTGTGGAAGATATGGCTAATCTCCTGCTGCGAGCCTGTAATAGCAAGCCTGTTGGCAAGCGATAGGCTAGGCGGTTTGTGGACTCACAGCCTGCTCTGAAAACTAAGTTTAATCGTCTATATAATTATTAAAGGGCTCTTTAAGAAGATCCTGAGGTTATATTAAAGTGGTTTGCGCTATTACGCAACATAATAGCTAAGTATAGCATCTAAGAGGGGGACCTATATAATTTTGATAAAACTGGCTTTATGATAGGCATGATCACTATGTTAATAGTGGTTACACATGCTGATCGACACAGCAAAGCAAAGTCTGTCCAGCCTAGCAATTATGAATATGCTACAGTTATTAAATGTGTTAATTTGGGCGGGTGGTGCATCCCTCCGTTTATGATCGTTAAGGGTGTATATCACCTTGCCAGTTAGACTATGGAATCAGATTTTCTAGGCAACTAGGTGATTAAACCTACTGCTAATAGATAGATAGATAATCAGATAGGTCTTAACTAGATTAAACACTTTAATAAACACACTAAGAACTAAACGAAGGGCGTCTACTAGATGCTTATTATCAACAGCTATAAGAGCTATTTATCAGCTGAGTTTAATAACTACTATAAGCAGAACAATATTATAACTGTTAGTATGCCTATATATTTATTACATCTACTACAGCTATTAGATATTGCCCTTTATTCGCCTTTAAAATGCATATATAGTGATAAAATCAACTAATTCATCAGAGCCTCTATAAATCACATCACTAAGTCTGAGTTCTTTATTGCCTTCCACTAGGCCCATAATAAGGTTTTTAATGAGGAAAACATCAGGTCTGCTTTCCAAGGCGCCAGAATTTCACTATAGGACCAGACCATATCATCAAAAAGCTTAATATGCATTTACAGACGCCTACACCTCCTATAGCCAACCTTTCAACACTACCACCTTAGCAGTCGCAAACGCCCTCTAACCCACAACAAACTATCTCGCAGTCTAACTTTATCAAAAGTTGCATCTCTGCTTATCAAGGAAGCTCACTAACACTAATTATTGCTGCAGTTAAGCAATTATCAAAGGGTGCGCAGGCAATAGCGCACTTAATCACTATTTTGACTGATCAGCTTTATACCCTTGAGGATGCAAATATAGCACTTACTAAGCGCTGGAGGGCTAAAAGAACGCAGGTCCAGCTTAGAGGGGCACTTAGTATAGAGGAATCTCAGGTTTTGCTTGAAGGGAAACAAAAAGGGAAACGTCCAGCACCTCAAGAGGACGACGAGGGGGGTCCATCAAAGAGAGCCCAGCCAGCTTGGAGACGCTGTGGTATGTGTGGTGAGACTGGGCATAACGCGCGAACCTGTTCTAAAGATGTCGAACCCTCAGGAGATTCTGATAGCGACAACTAATAGTTGATTTAATGCGTTGTGGTTGAGAAATACTAGATGTTGTTATATACGTGGGAAAAAACGTCCAGCTGACTGGTCCGGCCGGCTGACTGATGAACCATGTTAATCTTATAATATAAATATCCTATTTTAGCTACTTAATATCTAAATAAGTTAGTTATTTGTTATCTTTATTCTTAGGTTATAATATTAAGTCCCCTTTCTAAAGGTCTTATCTTTAAGACCTAATATAAATAGGTTATTAGTCCTAAGTTAGGGATCTATTAATTTTGCTTCCTAATTTTATTATAACATTAATATTATATTAGGTTATATTTAAAAATTAAAATTAAATACTACCTCTACTCTTTATTATTAGAACTATGTTTTATATATTATTAAGTTTAGTTTTATAGTTAATATACCTTATTTTTATTATTATTCTTTAGGGAAGTATTATAAATTTCTCTTTAATAGTGAAGTTTATAATAAGTATATTTATTTAGGGTAGTTATATAATATAATAGCAGATATTATTTATATTAATAGGTTTTTTAATACTTTTAGTTTATTATACCTTATTAAACTTTATTATAGTAAATTATTTACTTAATAAGGCTGCTTATTTAGAGGATGCTGAGGTAGCTAAAGATGAGGTGTTAAAAAAGAAAGCTACTGCTTTATATACTATATAGGCTAAGTTAGATAAATCTATAGTGTAGTTAGATTATTTATATAAATAGAAAAGAATAATATTTTAAAAAGGTTAAGAGGTTATAAAAGAGGAGCTAATAGCTTCTCTTATATTAGAGGTTTAGTCTATAGGTAGTTTTAGTATATTAGACCTTAAGACTATCCTTAATTAGAATCCTAGCACTCTAAATTTCTTATTAGAGGAGCTTTAGTTATATTCTAAGGTTTTTAGGTAGACTAATAGTTTTCTTTATCTTAGTTAGTCTGTTTCTACTAATAGTCTAATATATCTATAGGGGTGTTTAATTTATAGGTAGCTTGAGGTGTTTATTAAAATAATTAATTCAGCTGATATAGGTATTATTTCTTATTCTTAGTGTTATTATTAGTAGATTATAAGTTCTTCTGCTATATTAGTAATATTTTTAGTAAGTTTTTATATATTATCTTGATATTTATATCCTTTCTACTTAATAAAGTATTAGCATTCTTCTAGTTTACTAAGATAGTTAATAATTTATTTTATTTTACACTTTAGTTTATTATCTTCTATAATAATAATATTATTTATCTATAATCCCTATAATGCTAGTTTAGAGAGTGAAATATAGAATACTAGATAACACTTTATAGTTTCTAGGAGTTTAAGTTTATAGTTAACTAGTGAAATAACTTATGAGATTTTAAAAGGTCTAAGTTTTTTATAGTTTAACTTATTACTTAGTTGTTTTATTTTAATATTTTGCTATATAAGGTAGATGCTATCTCCCTCTTTTACGGTTAATCCCTCAATCCTTTATTGATTACTCAATTACATTATTTATTATTGTATAAATTGAAGTTTTTTATATATATTATCTTAAATATCTTTGATTTATTATATTAAGGTAACAGCTTTAATTATAGCTAAGCTTAGGTATATGTTTCTATAGGTGGTTAGTTTAAATCTATAGTTGAGGTAGAAGGGGGATTCCTTAATGCTTTCTCTAATTATATTGTTATAAGCGAATTAGGCTATTAGTAGTAGTATTACCTAGTTATCTTAATTATAATTAATATAAGTATACAGGTATATTTTAAGGATTTAATTAATTCTTTCTATTTATCTATTATTCTATAGATAGAATATAGTAAATATTAATTATTTGATGCTAAGTTATAATATTATTAACTTCTAAAACTTAGAAGTGAAGATTTTATCTCTATCTGATATAATTTCCTAAGGTGTTCTATAGTTAGTAATAATATATTTAAGAAATATATAAGCATATTCTTCAGCATTATTTAATTCCTTATATAGGATAAAATAGGCATACTTTATAAGTTAGTCCATAAT